CTTTTTTCCTCGGGCTTTTCCTTTGTTTTAGCCAATTCTCACCTCGGGTGCTCCCGGGGGGCAGTTCACACCTTGAGCGGGCACAGGGGTTGGTGGGGGTTTCCCCTGGCTGAAAGTGGGGGATTTGCTGGTTTTCACCCCGTTTTTTTCCGCTCTCCCCACCCCAGACCTGAGCTCCCTGACCATCCCGTGCGAGGAGGAGGAGGAGGAGGAGGAGGAGGAAGAGCTCTACAACGACGTGGACAGCTCTGACTCCATGAACACCTCCCACAACACCACCCTGACCCAGGAGGAGCCCCACCTGGAGCTGGAAGGGGAGGACATCTACGAGGTCCTGCCAGGTGAGAACCCAAAATCCAAACCATCCTTTTCCTCTTCTCCCCCGACCCAAAATCTAAACCATCCTTTTCCTCCTCTCCCCCTGACCCAAAATCCAAACCATCCTTTTCCTCTTCTCCCCCTGACCCAAAATCCAAACCATCCCTTTCCTCCTCTCCCCCTGACCCCAAATCCAAACCATCCCTTTCCTCTTCTCCCCCTGAACGAGGGAGGAAACCTCGGCCACGCCACACGCTGATGGGAATGAACATCTCACGGCCCCAAAACCCGAAGGTTTCACCCCATTTCTTTGCTCAGGCTGGACCCCAAGAACAAACCCTCCCTGTTCTGGGGGGGTTCTGATCAGTAAATTCGGGTGAAGCAGCTTTTAGAGGTTTTGCTCCCTCTCAGCTCGAGTCAGATTGAGTTTGGTGAGAGTGGGATCTCTGGGCTGTGTTACCTGGAAAATCAGAGCTGAGCTGATGGAAATGCTCCCTCCTGGGCATGGCAGGCAGGGCTGTAACACAATTACTGCCCTGCCACCAGATGATAAAATAACTGCATTAAAGACAAGCTGGTGCCCTCTCACGAGGGCTGGACAGACCCCACAGGCTCAGAGGGTGACAGGCCTGCAACGTTTCTGGCTCTGCCAACAGGAATCAGGGGGTGACACAGCCCAGGGCTCGGCCAGCAGGTCACCTGAGCCTCTTCTGCCTCTGCCCTGAGGGGATAAACCCCACCCTGAGAGCGTCCAGCAGTGTCTGAGTTCAGGGATGGGGAAAAAAAGAGGTCCTTGTTTCTTCTTCCTTATTGCAGAACTTTCTGTCTGTGGTGGTCCTTAAAAAGCACCAGGAGGTTTTATTGTGCCCGAGACCTTCACCTTGGAATTGCTGCCAAGGGGGAAGCAATGGCTTGTGGCATCCAGCCAGTGCTGGGAGCAGAGCTGGAGCTCCAGGACACACCCTCAGCCTGTGTCCATCTTCCCTTCCTCCCCTTCCCTTCCTCCCCTTCCCTTCCTCACCTTCCCTTCCTTCCCTTCCTCTTCCCTTCCTCTTCCCTTCCTCTTCCCTTCCTCTTCCCTTCCTCTTCCCTTCCTCTTCCCTTCCTCTCCTCTCATCCTCAGCTCTTTGGGCCCCCCTTCCCTCAGGAGCACCCTCAGCAGTCCCTGGGCTCAGCAGGAGCCTTGGGGTGCTCCCAGGATGGTGTTTGGGGGTGCTTCCAGCACCAGGCTGGAAGCTTGGGCTTCCAGCATTCCTTGCTGCCTTGGCTGAGTGTTTCCAGCATTCCTGGCTTCCTTGATTGAGGTTTTCCAGCATTCCTGGCTGCCTTGGCCAAGGCTTTCCAGCATTCCTGGCTTTCCAGCATTCCTGGC